GCCAAGGAGAAGAAGAGAGGCTTCCTGTGCAAGTTTTGCGGCACCAAAAACTCTCGCCAGTGGCGGAGAGCGCCGGCTGCTGCTGTATCCGCGGTCACCGAGAATGGTGGCCGTGGCGCTAACAAGGACAAGAAGGATCAATGCATCCAGGCGCTCTGTCGACGATGCGCCGAGCTGTGGAGACGTTATGCTATCCAGTGGGAGGATGTTGAAGAGGTTGCGAAGAAGGTGGCCCAGACGGGAGGTCGCGGATGGCGGAAGAAGGTGGACGAGGATCTTTACAAGGAGTTGTTGGCGGCTGAGGAGATGGCCAACAATATTCGATATCGCACCCCCGATCCGGCTGCTACTGCGAGCCCGGGACGCTCTTTCAGCGCCCAACCGACGGATAAGGAACCGCCTCGCAAGAAGCTCAAGAGTATTCCCGACAAGGATGCTGATCAGACCGCTTCTGAGTCGGGTAGTGTGGTCAATGCTCCGATCTCCAAGAAGAAGGAGAAGGCGGTTGAGAAACCACCTCCACCGCCACCTCCCGTCCCGGAAATGCCCAAGCCGCGGACGCTGCCTTGTGCTATTTGCCTTGAGATGGAGCCCATGGGTAATCAGCATCTGTGCTGCAGAGAGTGCCGCTTGACGGTTCACCGGAGTTGCTACGGTGTGCTGGACAACAGACCTCCTGGAAAGTGGACATGCGACATGTGTGCCAATGACAAGAACCCGCAGGTCGCTATTGTAAGTTTTGCTCAGGTTTGATTGCAAAGGTGCAATTGATGTTAACTTGTGTATCTAGGACTACAAGTGCGTGCTTTGCCCACATGAGTATACCCACCATGACTTTGTCGAGCCGCCCAAAATCTCTCACAAGAAGAAAACGGAGAAGGAAAGAGAAAGAGACAGGATGGAGCGCGAAAATGCGCAAAAAGCGGCCGACTTTTACCGCAAGAAGCAGGAGGAGATGAATCGGCCTGTCAACCCTCGCGAGCCCCTGAAGTGCACGACCGATAACAATTGGGTGCACGTCACATGCGCGGTCTGGACACCGGAGGTCAAGTTCGGTAGCGCAAAGGCGCTGTGTCCTGCTGAAGGAATTCCCACGATCCCGAGGGCGAAGTTTGCTGAGATTTGCAAGGCTTGCAAGAGAGACGGAGGAGCTTGTGTGTCTTGCCACCAGTGCCGCGCTTCTGTCCACGTCGAGTGTGCTCACCAGGCAGGTTATGCTCTGGGTTTTGACATCACGCCTGTCAAGGGCTCGAGACGCGATCAGCACAATATTGTCAGCATCAATGGGGACGCTGGAACTATGTCGGCGGTTGTCTATTGCAAGGAGCACTTGCCTACCAAGACGGCTATCTACCGAATGCACGACATTGTGGCGGAAAACGGGACGACTGCTCTGCAGCTGTATGTCCAGAACTACAAACAGGCCGATACAGCGCTGAAGGGATGCGCCAAGAAAGCCAACCAGATCGCTGTCACGTCCAAGGTTTCGACATCGCCATCCACGCCTTCGCATCACGTCAACCGCCGGGCATCTCTGATCAACAACTCCATCTCGCACATTCTCAACGGGGATGCGCCAATGGAGGACGCACCGTCGATGCAACAGAACGGCAAGATCTGTCTTACCTGCGCCACGGATGTCAGTCCCAAGTGGCACCCGATCAATCAGGAACAGGAACGCGGGCTCACCAACGGGTACTTCGGGAACCTGGGCTCCGAGGCGCAAAAGTTCGTGGAACAACGCAGTTTCCAGTGTCACAAGTGCAAGAAGTTGGGTCGCCAGCCGAATCCTCATCCGCAGCTCAAAAGAGAGCCTACGCCACCACCCAAGCCGGTCCGGCAGGCTTCGCAAGCACCACCGGCTGTTGTTCCTATCGGTGGCCCTACCGAGCCTCGTCACCCCAGTATCAACTCCTACAGGACCTGGTCACCTCCCCCGATGCATTCTGCGTCGGGTCCTCCGCCCGTGGTTCAGCCACCACCGCAGCTACAAGCTCCTTTACCAGGTCCGACTGCTCCCCAACTGATCCCTCCACCAGTAGCCGTCCAGTCACAGGCGGTGCAACCACCTCCTCTTCCGCCCACCATCGTCCCGAGAGGACTGCCCGTCCAACCTCCACCGCCCGAGTACGCCCCAGCAAACAGGGGCTACAGCGACTGGCCCCGAGCCTCTGCCCACCCAAATAACATGTCACCTCTACTCAACCACCCCCGCGAGAACCACCACCGCGAGAACCACCACCGCGGCCCGACCCCTCCCCCACTGAGTATGCCACCCCTGGCACCACCACCAAACCACCTCCGTCCACCACCGATCCAGACAATTGGCCCACCGCCTGGACCACCACCCCACAACGGGATAATGCACTCGCCTTATAGGAACGGGGTAGGGCTGAACGGAGGAGGGTCATCACCGCCTAGGAGGACGAGTGGACCTCACCAGCCGCCGCCGGTGATGAATGGGTATGGTCATCATGTCGAGCATATGCGTCCGCCGCCACCGCAGCATCATATGATGGAGCCGCAGCCGCAGCCGAATTATCTGAGGCAGGGGGGGCCGCACTGGGGGGGACATGTGCATCAAAGCCCGCCGCCGTTGAGAGAGCCGAGCCTACCGCCTCCGAACAGGGAGCCGAGGGCGAGTGGGGCTAGTGCTAGTCCTTCGTTGAGGAATTTGCTTTCTTAGGGGGGGTTAGTGGCCGAGGAGGAGGGGGTTTTATGGGGGGAGGAAGAAGGAGTGGGTAGACAGGGGAGTGTAATATATAGTGTATATTTTGAGGGGGAACACATTCGGGGGAGATGGGTAGCGGGGAAAAAAAGGGCTTCTGAGGGTTTGTTAGAGCGGGAAAGAGCGTTTATTGAGTTTTTATTTTTATTTTCTTTTTACATGTTCTGGGTTGTTGTTTGTTTGAGCGTGATTGGAGTGAATGGTATATAAAACTGCGGTGTGGGGTCTGGAATGGGCCTTTTTCTTGTCTTGTTTTTTTTGGGGGGGGAGAAGGGTTGGTGGTGTTTGAGGGAGTTTTATAAAAAGGGGGGAGGGGTGTTTTTGACAAGGGGGGTGTTTTTGTATATCGTGGCATAGGGTATTGGCAGGCAGGTCTACATTGGGGGAGGTGGTGGTTTCAACAAAGCAAAGCATGGAAGGGGGGTTTTGTCAATGGTGTTGTTTTCAACATTATATTGCTCTGGTTGGGGAGGGAGGTATGCATAGGCACTGGGCGGTTCTGTTGTGTGGTTGAGGGGGAGGGAGAGATGGGAGAGATGTTATGGCGAGTGTGATAATAAATATCAATAACTGTGGACAAATATGCTTCATGCTCACGCTTCTTGGGTCCTGTTACGTGAAAGTGATGCAGCCTGACACCCTATAGCCAGGCAAATGGCATTATTGCCATGGCTCTCCGACCCGCCAGCGAGGTAGGTGGGTTTTGCCTTTCTTCGCCCGAGAACGGAGAGGGGCGATCAATGCATGTGAGTTTCGGTAAGATTCCGTGATCTGGGAATTCCAAAAGATGCATGTAGGGTAGTGTACACTAACTAGGTAAGCGCTCTATTTCCCTGCTGGTCAGTTCCGAGTTGACTTACAAACCTGTAGACTACCTGGTGAGAGAACCCTGGAAACCTGGAGAAATTCTCACGATTATGTCATGTCATGATAAAGTACGTGCGCGCACATGTGTTCTGGGACTTTGCAGCTGCCATGGGATTTCCCTTTCGCTTCACTAAAAAAAGATTCCCCCGTTCGCCGGCGCCGATGCGGAGGAGGATCCCTTGTGGGTGGTGTGGCGGATGGTTGGGTGGGGGAAGGGAGTGTGGGAGGGTGACGACAGAAGACCCTGGGTTCTTCCTTTCAAGCCACAGTTTGGAGGGGTTGAAGAGTGACCAGGCTTCCTGAACGCAGAAGCCTCCCGCTAGATAGATATTGTTCGGTTTCCATGCGCATCGGCGCAGCACTGGGATTTCTACAGAATTAGATAGATGGGTACCCCTTACCTGTCAGTGTTGCCGCTGCTCAAGCAGTGCACGGGCCTATAATGCATGCGGCTTTTGGGGCCTGACAAGGGGGGGGGGGGGGATTACTGGAAAGTACTGCACTAACAGCACCAGCCACACTCTAGAGTCTTCGATGGAATTCCATCAGGAGGGGAGTGGAGGGAAGGCAACGCCTGGGCTTGGGGGAAGAATTTCAGCCTCTTCGCCGCCCTCTTTCCCACCCCAATCTGCCCTTGCTCATATTCCCCTTGGACAGGACCCCTCTCCTTGCGATCAGTTTCTTAAAGGACGAAGTTCATTTTAACTTACTTGACCAACTGGCGCCTCGAAAAAGGTCCAACGCAAACAACAACCCCACCCCAACCCTTTGTTTTCTTCCCCAGAAGATACGAAAGTCAACGAACGAACAAACCGACGACTCAGCAGAAGGGCTCGGCTATTTCCTACACCTGCGATAGTGACAAATTCTTGCTTGCTGCGACAACAAAATCGGGCAACTTTGAGAAGAAGAAGTTCAAGAGAGTTTGACGCATTTGCGCAAAATCGGCGAGCGCAAAATTCCAAAGCAGACTGTAGGTTTTCCTTCTTTCCACTTCCAACACACACATCCAACTCTATCGGTTTTTCCTGGCAGCCACCAAGCCCGGTCTTGCCAGCGGCCCAGCAGAAAGCTTACACAGCCTCGGGGGTACGGCATACACATACTCTGGGCGCCCTGTTTTTTTTTGTTTTTAAACGGTTGGCTTTGCCAGTTGCCCACCTATCCCCCCACCGCTTTTCACTTCAGAAAGTTCAAGAAGACCTCTTTGGCCTGTGGCTTTCTTTGCTCTTCCCAACTTTACTCTATTGCGCCATATCTTTTGGGAAAGTGCCCAACATCTTTGCTAACTTTATTGGCCATTTCAGCTTTCTCGGAAGGAAACCCTTTTTACTAAGCGTCATCCGCCGAATCGAGACAGCAAGCTGTTGTTTCCTTTTCGATACAATCAGATCCAACCGCAAACATGGTTAAGGAAGCGAAATACTACGAGATCCTTGGCGTAAGGAATCCCAGAATGCCATCTCGGATTTTTGAGGAAAGCATGTAGAGTTTCTGACATGATTGGTGCTGCAGGTCTCGCCAAATGCGACGGAGCAGGAGTTGAAGAAGGCGTACAAGATTTCCGCCCTCAAGTTCCACCCAGGTATGTAGTTGTTGCTGGCACAGTGGCAGGTTGCTGTAGCATGACTGACTTTGTTGTCTAGACAAGAACCCCAACAACCCGGAGGCCGAGCACAAGTTCAAGGAGGTTTCACATGCTTACGAGATTCTTTCCGACCCACAAAAACGCCAGATCTACGACCAGTATGGCGAGGCTGGTCTTGAGGGCGGTGCCGGCGGCGGTGGCGGCATGGCTGCTGAGGATCTGTTTGCCCAGTTCTTTGGTTCCGGCGGCTTCGGCGGTGGTCTTGGTGGCATGTTCGGCGGCGGCACGCAGAATCGCGGGCCAAGCAAGGCCAAGACCATCCACCACGTTCACAACGTCTCCCTCGAGGACATTTACCGCGGCAAGGTCTCCAAGCTTGCCCTTCAGCGCTCCATCATCTGCCCCAAGTGCGAGGGTCGCGGTGGCAAGGAAGGTGCCGTTCGCAAGTGCACAACTTGCGACGGTCACGGTATGAAGACTATGATGCGCCAGATGGGTCCCATGATCCAACGCTTCCAGACCGTTTGCCCAGACTGCAACGGCGAGGGTGAACTTGTCAAGGAGAAGGACAGGTGCAGAGGGTGCATGGGCAAGAAGACGGTGGTTGACAGGAAGGTTCTCCATGTCCACGTTGACCGTGGCGTGAGAAGCGGTACCAAGGTGGAATTCCGTGGTGAGGGTGACCAAGCGCCAGGCATCCTTGCGGGTGATGTCGTTTTCCAGATTGAGCAGAAGCCACACCCTCGCTTCGAGCGCAAGGAGGACGACCTGCTCTACAACGCCGAGATTGATCTCGTAACGGCTCTTGCTGGTGGAACAATTTACATCGAGCACCTTGATGAGAGGTGGTTGAGTGTTGACATTCTGCCTGGCGAGGCTATCTCACCTGGTAAGTTTTGACTGGTGTCTGTTGGTTAAGAACGTCTGTCTAACACGATTTAAAGGCACCGTGAAGATGATCCGCGGGCAAGGTATGCCATCATACCGCCACCACGACTTTGGCAACATGTACATCCGATTCAGCGTCAAATTCCCCGAGAAGGGCTGGACTCAAGACGAGGCCGCCTTTGAGGCCCTTCGGAAGTGCCTCCCATCGCCGGAGATCATCAACACACCCCCTGCTAATGCCATGACGGAACCGGCTGATATCGAGGATGTGGACGCCAGCTCCAAGGGTGGCTTTGGCGGGGCCACTGCCATGGATGAGGACGAGGATGATGGGCACCCGCATGCCGAGCGCGTACAGTGCGCTTCGCAGTAAGGGGGGGCGGGGGAGGTTGATGTGATTTGGGGAGACTGGAGTTTTTTTTTTTTTTTTTTTCTGCAAAAAAGTCACACACACCAAGACATATATCCATACCCGCAGTAGCTCAAGATTATTGATTACTGCATCTTGGATGCGGACATTTTTGCAAAAACAAAAAAAAAAAAAAGTCTCTTTCCTTGCTTCATGATATAGCCCCTTTTGAAGGGTGTTTTTTGATGGACGGTGTGGAGGGTGGTGAGCATGAGAAAAATGTTTTATTTTTCTTTCTTCTTTCTCAAACAAACAAATATTTGCATGGGCTGGAAAGACATGGGATGGATGGGATGGGGGGCAAGGCTCTCTTTGTTTGGTTGATGTTATACCTAAAACAAGAGGCTCTTTTTTTTTTTTACTTGGTTTATTTGTGTCGCTTTTTATGTTCTGAGGTTTTCTTTGGTGGGTGGAGGGGGGGGAGGAGAGGGGGTGAATCTTGGAGCGACTCCTAAGTGAAAAGGGGGGGGGGGTAGGGGGGGGAGGGAAGGGAGAAGAGTTTTGTTTGTTGTTTGGTGTGGAAATGGCGAGGGGGGGTGCTGAAATGGGGGGTTTGATTTCTGAATTTTGGCGTTTTAGAAAGGGGATATCGGTGAATACAATAGATGGGGAAGGAGGGAGAGCGGGGTAGGAAGTAGGAAGTAGGGAATGTGAAATTGTTATGGAAGCGATGATGATGCTTGACTTTGAGTGACTTGCTTGACCACGGTTTACAGACCTCGATCCCTTTCTCGCAAAATTGCGTGTGCGGTGAGGTCGACAACGAAGTGCGATGGAATTCAGGATCACTGCTCTCATGCATGCTGCTTGCTGTTCCAAAGATAAGTCTGCTCAATCCAAGTACACCTCTCGGGCGTCCCCAATTGATAGTTGCTCTGAGATTTGTAGCCACATCCCTGAGAATTGGGGGATGTGTGTCGCGTGTTGAGCTCATACTTTCGGAGGGAAGGGGTTGATGGTGATTGATTCCTTGAGACGTTGCTGCCACTGGCACTCCTCAAGCAACTTGAAGCGTGATAACCATTCTTCAATTAAACTCTCGAGACCTAAAATCAAAATCTCGAATCTCATAACCCGATAACACCACTCTTCGCACAATCTCAAAACAAAACAGTCCAAAAAAAATCACCTCGCCCAACCATACAAGACGGTCTCCTTAATGGTCCAACTCCAACTTGTAAGTCGCCACCTCAAAAGCCTTCAGCTCAACACCAAACCCATCCCCATCCACCTCCACCTCCTCAACCTCATCCTCCAGCAAATTCACCTTGGTCACCCTCTTGATCCCCCACACACTCTTCACCCTACCCCTCGCCAGCCCCCCAAGACTGTCATACATTCTCAAAATCACATTCTCCTCCCCCGTCTTCTCATCATCCTCCCCCCTCTTGACCGTGTCCAGCACCAACCCCTCATCCGACTCGCTGTCCAACCACACCCTCCTCGTCCGCAACCAACTCTTCACATCCCCCAGGCTCTCCACCTCAAAAATCTTGAGCGGGTTATTAAACTCGTACCCCTTCCTCACAGTTACATGGCTCAGCCCCCCCTGATGCGGCAAAATTCCCCACCGGATGTGATGAGTTCCCATATCAGCATGCGCATCAGGCGCCTTGGAGCTCCTCAGCAGCGACAGCCTCATCAGGTTCCCGCTCGTGGCAAACCCATACTTGCAGTCGTTCAAAACAGAAACACCATAGCCATGCTCCGACAAATCCGCAAACCGATGCGAGCAAACCTCAAACTTGGCCATGTCCCAGCTCGTATTGTAGTGAGTAGGCCTCCGCACGATACCAAACTGGGTTTCATAGCTCGCTTCCGTGTTGCGGATATCCACGGGAAACTCAACCTTGAGAAACTTCATCGTCTCGTGCCACTCCACCTTGCTGCTGACCTCGACGAACGACTGTTGGTTGGGAGAGCACGCCGAAAGACTAATCACCGTCTCGATGTAGCTCTTGTCGCTGATCTTGGTCTTGGTAATGACGCTGACGCGGTGCTTCTTCTGCTCATGAACCTTGGTCTCAGAAGTCGAGAGCTCCTTGCGGCTGTCGAGATGGAACACCTCGACATCCCAAGCCTGCCAGTACAGAGGCTTGTCGTCAAAAATGACGTATCGGTTGGCCTTCTGTCCCTTGGGAATGATCTCTCGGTTGGCCTTCAGGTCGTAGAGCGATGTGATGAGGCCGCTCTCGAGCTTGACCTTCAACTGGGTGTTCTGGAGCACAAACACATCCGGGGATGGCTGTTCGAGCGTCACCAGCGTTTCCTCGCTCTCAAGGGAGAAAGGCCGAAGTTTCATAAAGGGGCCTGGGCCGGAAGCGACGGCAAGCTCGCCATCGGCAAGCTCGACTATCTCGTGACGCGACCACGGAAGCGAGGTGAATGCCACACCAGTGTTTGACGTGACAGCATCGGCGGTGGCTTCACGGAGGCCTGTAGCCTCGCCGAGAATCTTCTCGGCGGTCTCGAAAACCTTCTTGTAAATCTGCACATCGTGTCAGCAACCATCTCGCTATGCAAATTCAGATCCCTCACCTCATCAGAATCATGATAGCACATCTCAATCGAGCTTCCGGGCAAGCAGTCGTGGAACTGACAAAGAAGAACCGACTCCCACATCTCATCAATCTCCTTCTTGGGATAGGCGCAGTGTCCCTCGATCGAGGCAATGGTAGCCAGCAGCTCGACAGCACGGAGCGCATCTTCGGCTCTGCGGTTGTTGCGCTTGTTGTTGGACTGAGTGGTGTATGTTCCGCGGTGCAATTCAAAGTACAGCTCGCCATACCACGTCACGAGCTTGTCGCCCTTGGCTTCGAGGTGATGGAAGAAGTCATCGACTGAGCTGCCCATGTGCACCCGAGGGAGAAGGCCTACCGTGTCGCTGATACCACGAGCGCGGCGGAGCTTCTCGAGATGCTGCCAGGTAGGACCGCCGCCACCGTCTCCCTTTCCAAAAACAAGAAGCGAGGTCGGGTCCTGGTCAAGAGACTTGTGCTGCGACATGCTACGCTTGACATCGCCGAAGTGGGCCTCCGCCGTGTATGTTTCAGCCGGCGGCATGTGGCATATCACCTGTGAGCCATCCAGAGCAACCCAGTTGAAGGTGGTGTGCGGGAACTTGTTGATGTTGTTCCAGCTGAGCTTCTGGGTGAGGAAGCGCGTCATGCCGGCCAGCCGACACAGTTGAGGGAGCTGGCTGGAGTATCCAAAGGTGTCGGGCAGCCAGAAGGTCTGACAGCGCTTCCCAAAGTTTTCCTCGAAAAAGCGCTGGCCGTACACGAACTGACGGACAAGAGACTCGCCGCTGGGCAGGTTGGTGTCGTGCTCAACCCAGCTGCCGCCGATGGGGTGGAACTGGCCATCCTTGACCTTCTGCTTGACACGCTCAAAGACATAGGGGTACAGTTCCTTGAGCCACTTGTACTGCTGGGCTTGGGAGCAGGCAAAGTTGAGCTCGGGATACCTCTCCATCAAATTGCACTGGTTGGACCATGATCGGGCAACCTTGCGCTTGGTCTCATCAAATGGCCAGAGCCAGCAACTGTCGATGTGGCAGTGGCCAATACCAAAGACAAGAGGCTTCTTGTCACTCTCGTACACCTTGTGTGAGTCGACATCGGGGCCGAGGTACTCCTGAGCAATCTTCCGGCACGTCTTGAGCGAGTCTTTGTTGCCGGGCTCGAAGGCCTCGATAATCCTGTTGTAAACATCCAGAGCATGATGCTGCTCAGGGGAGTCCGAGGGGAACTCTTTGGCGGCGTCGCCAATGATCCAAGTATCGATATGCAGGCCGCGAGCGTCCGGGTTGACCGCGACAATGTTGGCTCTCTCGACGGTGTAGTACCTGTTCGGGTCGGGAGCAGCGATGAGGTCACCCTGGCCGATGCCAAACATGCCGTTGCAAGCCATCTCGACGTAAAAGGTGTGTTCCTTTCCATCAAGGAAGGGCTTGGGAAGAACCCACTCCACTCTCTCGCCGCCGCCAGTGAGGCCCTGGAGAGGCTCGCCGTCCTCGGACCAGATCAAACCCTCGTTGTTGGCGTCCCAGTGAAACTCGACCAGCTCCTGATCGCGAACATTGTCCGGGACTGTGATCTTGACCCTGAACCAATGAGTGGTCCAGGATGGACCAAAGCTGGCGCCGACCTTGGTCTTTTCAAAGTCATGAGAGACGGCCTCTTCGAAGGTTGGCCTGGTCTGTCCAGGAGCGTGCCAAACCCAGAGTTGGACATGAGGCTCGCCGTAGACGACGGCATCGTTCATCATGGAAAGGAGGTTTTCGTTGGCATATTGGCCCCTGGCGTAGAATTGGCCGATGCGAGACTTGTAGATTTGGCTGATGTACTGGCCGACTGGTTTGGGAGCCCGGATGGGATAGTCACTTCTAGGACCATTCCCGCAGTGGTTTTCGCCGCCCATGGTGACCGAAGAAGGGGTTGGAATTTTGTATAAGAAGAAGCTCAAGTGTTGTGAGGAAAAGGAAGAGTCAAAGAGCTATGAGAGCGGATGATCAAGCTGTAGCTGTTGAGGCACCGGGCGTCTGCAGCACTTATATATATTGTTGTGATGATTGGGAGGTAGAGAGAGGAGGTTAAGGTACAAGTTCAGGTGCCTGGTCAGGTTTGGAGAGAGAGAAAGAGTCAAAGTCTGAGAATCTCCGTGACGGGCGTAAATCAAGGGCAGGTACTACTGTGTACGGAAGTGGTTGGTCAACGGATGCAGCTTCGTCCTGGTGATGGCGGAAGCTGCCAGGGCGGGCAGGGCGGATGACAGGGGTGTGTTACCGAGAACAAGACCACATCCCGGCTCCCCGCAGTTCCCCGCCGTGCTAGGCGACCAATCAAGAGCCGGCCTCTCCACCGCTCTGTCCCACCAGTTCCACCCAAGGGATCATGGGGTAAGATGCCTGCCCCTGTCGATTATCTCAACCTTCTCTCTCTCTCAACTGGCCCTGAGCAATTGCCGAAATGGGTGTTACCGCCTGTCTGCCTGCTGTCTTTGATCAATATCAGATCAAATCCCACGGACTAGTCATTCAGCCTCGAGTCGGTCCCGAGCTACCTGCTGATTCAAGTCGTTTAAGCCGTAGGTAGGCAACAGGCCACAGTGCACAAGGCTGGATATAACTTGTTCGTCACACAATCCACGGAGATGAAACCCAAGGCAAGAGTGATCTAGCAAAGCCACCGGATGGTGTACCCATGGTCCTACAGGTCTAGGCACAATACGGTATTACCTATTTATTCAAAAATACTACATTCCAGTTCAAATCCTATGCATAACCCATTATCGTCAACCGCTGGCTAATCCCACCCAAGAATATAAAATGGAAAAAAAAAAACCACAAAATACCAAACCCTATATACGGGCCATGAACCTCCATGCGTGTATATACCCAAACGCCTCATAACCCATTTCATAACCCTCATCATAAAACACTACTATCCCTACTCTTCCTCCTATCCGTTCCCTCTACCGTCCCCAACTGCGCATCCTTGCTCAAACTCCCCATAGTATTCTCCTCCTCCTTCCCCTTCCCCATCCCCAGATGCTCTTCCTCCTCTTCATATTCCTCCTCCTTCTCCTCCTCCTCCTCATATTCCTCCCCCTCTTCTAACTCCTCTTCCTCATAACTCATCTCACTCTCACTCTCACTCTCCTCACTCTCACTCTCCTCAAACCCCACCAACCCCAAAAACGGCACCTCCACCCTCGCCAGCTGGCTCTTAATCAACCCATCCGCCACCTCAAACAACCTCCCATCCCTATCCTCCTCCCTCTCCCCCATCCTATCCATATCAAAATCTCTTTCTTGTTCATCCTTAGGCAGCTCCCTCCCCGGCACAAAATCCCCCTTCTCCAAAGGAACACCCATCACCCAATTCCTCACCGTCTCCCCCTTCGTCACCTTACTCTTGGCGCTGTTTTTATTATTGAGCGCCCGCTTGAAGGTTTTTTTCTGCCGTTTTCTCCGCCTGTTGATACGGTCCCTGATATACCACGCCACGACCAGCATCGCCGCCTGCGTCATCTCCTGGCATTTTGCTCTCTGGGCAGCGGCCCACTGCTGGCAGCGCTGCTGCTGAAAGTTGGCTACCGCTTGGCAGCGCTGTTGGTAGTACGAGGCTATGCGGGAGGCCATGGCTATGTAGCGGGGGTCAACGGCCGCTTGAGCTGCTGTGGCGGGGTCGATTCCGACTGTGGAGGGGGGGAAACCTGGTTGTTGTTGTTGGTGTTGTTGTTGTTGGGGTTTGGAAGAGGGATAGGAAGGGGGGAATGTTGGGGAGGTTCGGAGTTGGGGTGGTGGTGGTTGCATTGTTGATCGGGAGGATGGTCTTGGGGAGGTGAGACTGGGGGGATCAGCTTCGGATTTGATGTGTGGGCCGGAGGTTGTGGAGTTTGAGGGGGTTGGTTCGTGGTGTTGTAATCCTAAACCGATTCCGCGGTATTGCTGTGGTGGTTGGCTGTGATGTTGGTGGTTGTGGTTGTGATGCCCTGGTTGTTGAAAGGCGTTTGGTGGAAAGAGCCCTTTCATGAACATGTGGTGGTCCGGGGGAGGGGTGACGGGAATCTGGGGGTTGAAGGAAAGCGGCCCTGGCATTGGCGCCGCCATCATGACCGGTTTGTGATTTATTGTGGAGGTAAGTGTGTGTGGTTGCTTGCTGATGTTGCACGGTCCTCGAGTGTCGTTCGATACTGTTCGCGCTCATAAGAGGGGAAGCGACAATTTGCGACAGATAATCTCGGATCGAATAAGTTGGGGAAAGCCCGGAGAATAAAAATAGATGATGGATAGATAGGGTATCAAGCAAGAGATGAAAGTATCTTTCGAAGAAGAAGCCCCGCAGGTGGGGAGGGGGAGAGCGACGAGAGCGTCTTATACCTTGACCTACAGTCCTTTGATACTGAATAATACTTGAATAACACGGCTAGGTAAGGGAACCCTGGTGAAGTGACGTTGGCTATGGAACCAGTTCCTGGATGCTACTTTTTTCGAGAAAGGAACGGCATCCAGAGTCGGGTGCACAACCTGGCATGTTTGGTTTGGCAATGGGCAGAAGCATGATAAGCTCGGTTCGACTGGGGTTGGCGGGCGGAGCATGGAAAAATGGGCTGAGGACCAGGTCGGGAAGCGTGGGTATGATGGCAGAAGCAGGCCAAAATCGGTCGATACCGACGGCGGCTGGCAAATCGCCATCAGGGGGACTGCCCAGCTCGAGAGCACCATCGGGCCACCCTTAATCATGCCAGGCCAGGGCACTTTGTCCTCTTCGGATTTAATCAATGATGAGAAGAGGCATCATCCACGTTCGTCTGAAGCTGCATCCCACCCCCATCTTGCGTGCTGTAATGTACGGATACCTACTCCTCCACCATTACACAGCAGTTAGGCAGCTAGACAGCTTCCATCCTACCTGTATCAATGAAACGTCGACAACAGATATCCCGTCTTCCGGGGAACAGGCCCTGCCAAATTGCCGGGATTTGCTAGGTGGCCATCGGCAGGTGGTTTTTCGGGCCAATTTTAACCCTTCGTGTCTGTCTTGTCTATTTTTCGGTGTTTGGTTGTTGAGATAAAAAACACGTTTGCTGCATTGTTGGAGGTGCATGATTCGCAGATGTCGTCTCTCAGCAACAAACACATGATCCAGACCGCGAATGGGCCCATGCCCGCTTTCCAAGACATCGAAGCTTGACTAGATCAGGCAAGACGCCTCTCACCACCGCGGGGCAGGTGAAGGTCGGTCGTCAGAACCCACACCTGGGCTGACCGAAGTTTGCCTTTTTTTCATGAATTCTCGTAGGGCTGAAGGCTGGGGGCTGTGCGCTGTGCTGCATGCCTTTTCTGCCGGTTGTCGCTTTTTTTTTTTTTTTTTTTTTTTTTTTTTTTCGTTTTTTTTTTGGTTTTTTCCGTTTTTTTTCTTTTTTTTTTTTCGGTTTTTTTTTTTTTTGTGGCCAGCGAATTCAAAGGGGGTTTCCGCGACAACCACTGGGAAGACCTGAGAGAATTGCAACAAAAGAAGCTTTTGGTCCCCTGGAAAGCCACTCCAGAATAAACCCCTGCCCAGTCAGTGTCTGCGGGGGATTCCGCCCGCCGCATCGCCAAGAATTCTCGGATTTTACAGGACAACTCTTAACACTAGAATTTCCATCACGTTGTCGCCTCGTCAACAACCAATCCTGATTATTCTCTTCTCCTGATGCTGTCCTCGCGACCACCACCAGTTCCTCGCCTCCGGATAGCGTGTCTCGCCCAGACAACTCGCTGCCACGCGCGCTGTGGTCCCGCCACCGTCGGGCGGTGTGGTGTCCGACATGTAACCACGGCCTTGTTTTCTGGACCCTCTGCTGCGTCTGGAACGCGTGCGGCTCGTCTGGCTCCCTTGCAACACCTTCAGCTCCGCGGCAAGAAAACTACCGTCGTCAAGCTGGACGAGCTGCCACAGGGGCTGATCGTACCACCAGAGACGCCGGCTCCAGTGGAACAAGATGACGAGCCCCAGTACCCGACAGTGGTGCAGCAGGCCCGCCGCAACATGCAGAAGTTTGACAATTGCGTGCTGCTCACCCGTGTCGGCGGCTTCTACGAGCTGTACTTCGAGCACGCCGATGAGTACGGCCCGCTCCTCAACCTCAAAGTCTCACAGAAGAAGACAAACGCCGGCCCCGTATCCATGGTATTTATCTTTATTGTGCCATGTTCCATCCGTCCGTCCTTGTAGTTAGTTCCAGCTTGTATCTGATGACTGTTCGTGTGTTGCCCAGGCCGGCTTTCCATTCTTCCAGCTGGATCGCTTTCTCAAGATCTTGGTCCAAGACCTCAACCGCCATGTAGCCATTGCTGAAGAGTTCCCCAACGATGCCTCGTCCAAGATCAGGTCTGGTGGGTTGATGCATGACCGTCGAGTGGCCCGTATTGTCACTCCCGGCACCCTCATCGATGAGAACTTCATGGATCCTTATGCAAACAACTATGTAATGGCTGTTCATCTGCCCGAGAAAGCGGAATTATCGGACCATGTGAGCCGCCAAGCGGGACAGCAAGCCATCAACACGCCAGACCCGGCCGATGATGTCCCGACCCATATCGGTCTAGCATGGCTGGATCTGTCGACCGGCTATTTCTTCACTCAGCCGGCCACTCTAGCATCGCTCGGCTCCGTGCTGTCTCGGGTGTCCCCTCGGGAGGTTGTTCTGGACAAGGCCCTCGAGTCTGCCGAGGATCAGGGGATCGCGTCTATCCTGCAGGAGGAGAGCTACCTGGTGACGTACTCTCCCCAAGGTGAGTTTCAGTCGCTAGACGACTGGCAGCCCATGCTGGAGGGTAAAATCCCGGCGAAGGAGGCCAAAAAGTTTACAGAGGAGGAAGTAGATGCCGGGAGTCTGCTGCTCCACTACGTGGGAGATCGGCTTCAGGGGCTGAGCATGAAGCTCCAGCCACCGGTTCGCCATGTAAACATGGAGGTGATGAATATTGACAAGAATACCATGCGGTCACTTGAAATTAAGGAGACTGTCCGGGATGGCACGTTTAAGGGGAGCTTGTTGTACGCCATCAGGCGAACGGCAACCAAGAGTGGCGCCCGGCTTCTCAACCAGTGGCTGAGTATGCATTTGTTTTCTTTCAGCATTCAGGGCCATCAGCTTAATTTGTCTCCTAGGTTTCCCGTCAACATCACTCAAAGCCATCAACGCCAGACTTGACCTGGTAGAACGCTTCATTCAAGACGAAGAACTTCGAGATGCCATCATCGTCCTTCTCCGCAGAAGCCATGACTCCCAGCGCCTCGTCCAAAAGTTCGCCCTCAACCGCGGCGATGCCGATGACCTACTCCAGCTAGCCAGCACAATCAAATCAACAGAGGACATAGTCGCCCTCCTTGAAGCCTCCATAGCCTCCCAACCCGAAGAAGCCAAACCAGCACCACCAGAAGAAGATGCCACCCCGGAGGAAGAAGAAGAAGACGAGGACCCCCTCGCCACCCTCCTCTCCCGCATCTCCCTCAAATCCCCCCTCAAACTAGCCCACTCCATCCGCTCCGCCATCGATGAAGAAAACCTAGTCCAGCAACACCAACTAGAAGACTCCCGCGCCGGCGAGCTCCTCTCTCTCGCCCAAGAAATCGTTTCTTCCGAAGCCACAGAAGAAGACGGAACCATCCTCCCCAAATCCCGGCTCCCCTCTTCTTCTTCCCCTTCCCAAAAACCCAACCGGAGGAAGATACCTTCAATACGGGACCACTACTCGGAAGAAGCAGAACTCTTCATCATGCAACCCCGCGCCTCCCGCCTTTTGAGCTCACTGCACAAACAACTCGCCAGTCTCAAATCCCAAAAGGAAGAGCTCTGCCTGTCTCTCCGTCGGGAGCTGAACCTCCCATCCCTGACCTTGAAATGGACACCCCAGCTAGGGCACATCTGCCACGTCAAAGGTCGGGACTCTCTCTCCTCCCCTGTCTCTGACACCCCTTCCATCAGGACCCTCTCCACCTCCCGCAGCACCCGCTCCTTTCACCACCCGGCCTGGTCATCGTTGGGTGACTCCCTCTCCCAAACCCGCCTCGCTATCAGAGCAGAAGAATCCCGCGTTTTTGCGTCGTTGCGACAGTCGGTGATTTTGAATCTGGTAAAGTTACGACGGAACGCCGCCGTGCTAGACGAGCTAGACGTCCTCACCTCCTTCGCCTCGCTAGCCCGAGAGAAAAACCTCGTCCGCCCCATCCTGAACACCTCCACCGCCACAATAATAGTAGGAGGTCGGCACCCCACCGTCGAGTCCGCCCTCCAAGAACAAGGCCGCACTTTTACCAAGAACGACCTTTTCCTTTCCTCCCCCCCCTCATCCCCTTCCCAACACGGCCGCATCTGGCTCGTCACCGGCCCAAACATGGCCGGCAAATCCACCTTCCTCCGTCAGTCCGCCCTCATCACGATCCTCTCCCAGATCGGCTCCTTCATCCCAGCAGACCACGCCCAGCTCGGCCTGGTCGACGCAATCTTCTCCCGCCTCGGCTCCTCGGACAACCTCTACGCCTCCCAGTCCACCTTCATGGTCGAGATGCTCGAGACCTCCACCATCCTCCGCCAGGCCACCCCCCGCTCCTTCGTCATCATGGACGAGATCGGCCGGGGTACAACGCCACAAGACGGAACCGCCGTCGCCTTCGCCTCCCTCCACCACCTCGTCAAGGTCAACAGATGTCGTGCGTTATTCGCTACTCACTTCCACGACATCGCCGGTTTGATCAAAGAACAAAACCTGACCGTCCAAGACGGGGGGCAGGATGGAGCGGTGGAGATGTACTGTACCGATGTGGAAGAAGACGAAAACGGGGGGTTCGTCTATGTGCACAAACTCCAAAAGGGCGTCAACAGGACGAGTCACGCGCTCAAGGTCGCGAGGTTGGCTGGGTTGCCTGACAAGGCTATTCAAGTTGCAAGAGAAGTGTTAGAAAGGAATGGGCTATAGAAGGCATAAAAAACAATGTCACATCACAGGAGCAAAAGGAACGAAGCACTTGTAGGATGGATAAATATTGTATTTGTATGAAACACATGTCACCAAGGGCAAAAGACGGCAAAATCGTGGGATGAATAACCTGTTTGATCTGGTACTCATGTTAGTCTTGATACCCAAAGAGAATAAATTGTGTAAACAAAATGGTAAGTGATTGTGTCTCATACGTTGTTGTATGGGTTTCTCATCAATAAGATCAGGGTTAAAAAGCTCTTTGTCATTTTTCATAATCATCGACACTTGGGGGGGCTGTGCTGCGAAAAAAGAAAAAAAAGAAAGAAAAGGGGGGTACTAACCAGTATCTGGGAAGCAGCAAGTAGACTGTTTGGGCAGTCACTACATTGCAGTTCAAAAATCCTTTGTATGTCCATCTTCAGAGTGCTCAATTGACCAGCAAATGATCTATCTAGATTCGGGTATCGATTCATAAAACCTTTACCGGACCCAAACCAAAATTGCCAGTCCACAAGCGCCGTCATGACGTCGTTACAACATTTAACCGCTGGGAGAATGGTTAGCAGAAGTTCCACACAGACACAAACAGAAAACACATACAAGAGATCGCCGAAGCCACCCTCCTCGTCGGACTCCTCCTCCTCCTCCTTCTCCTCCTCAGCGGCAGCACCACCGGCGGCGGCGCCAGAGTCAGCAGCGGCGACAGGGGCGGCGGCAGCATAGGCCTCGGGGTTGGCAATGCGGTCCTTGAGCTCCTCAATCTCGGGCCAGCTGATCTCGGTCTCGATGGCAACAGCGAGAACCTTCTTGTAGCTGTTGACAAGGGAGTGGATGACGGAGGGGAGAGTGGGGAAGTTGAGGGCCAGGGAGACAGCGGCAATGGTGGTAATGGCGCTGGAGAAGGCCTTCAGGAGCTGCTCCTCGCTGATATCGAGGACGGAGCTGGGGAAGGTGTTGCCCTGGTCGTAGACCTGAGCGATGCCCATACCGTAGGTGAAGGGAGAGATGTTGAGCATGTTCAACAGGGTAGCCTCGGAGGGGCCGACCTTGGCGCCAGCCTCGACGAGCTTGAGATCGGTGGTGATTTCAATGGTACCACGGGCAATCTTGGTGGGGACACCGAGGGCCTGGAAGAAAGAGGTCTTGCCGGGTTCCATACCAGTGTTGCCAGCGGGAATCCAGACATCGACGGGGGCGACGGCACCAGCACGAGCGGGGGCGGCGACCTTGTTGGCGAGGATCTTGTCACGGATCTCCTTGAGGTCACCGTTGGTGAAGACGAAACCAACGTTGCCCTTGACGAAGGGGAGGAGGCGCTCGTACTCGGGGGAGTCGACCAGGAAGGTCTTGAGGGCACGGCGAACCTGTTTGGCTCCATTAGTATCGATTTCTTTGCTGATCTGGGTCGCCATCTCATACCATGGTGTTCTTGCCCATCAGGACCACACCCTGATCGCGGAGGGCCTGGCGAATCTCGTGCATCTGCTGAGACGAGACATTGTCGACGGAGACGATGAAGATGGACTTGTACTCCTCCAACAAGCCCTTGAGCTTGTCGAAGTAGCCAGCCTTGTTAGCGCTCTTGCCCCCCATGTCTTCTTTTGCTGGAAGCTAGGTTGTTTAAGGGCGGTTTATTGTTGGTGATGCGGAAACAAGGAGGAGAGGAGAACTCGCGATGGTGGTTTTACCAAAAAAGAACCTAAGCAGCCTCCGGATTTTCGCACAATCCGCTTAGCCTGTGGGGGCCCGCTCCCGCCTAGGGTTTAAGCTGGTAGGGCCAATCAGAGAGCTCCAGATGCTCGAACTGCCCCACGCCTTATCGATAAGAAAGTGCAGAGGTACAAGCTTCTGCGTCAAGCTTCGAAAAAGACGGACATCAGAGAGCATCTTCACGGCGGCAGGTAATTCCGGTCTTGCTAGGTGCTGAGATCAAAGTGACATCCTTGTTCTTGGGAGGGAACGAACTGGAGAGAAAAGCTGCGCCCGGTTCCACAGGTGTTTGAAGCTTGACGTTGAAGCACAAGCCACCTGTGGCTGACATCCCCAAGCTCCAGACAAATTCTTCTAAGTCCAGCAACACCGAAGTGGATTGACTCAAGCTTCACTGCATTGGAGATATCTGCTTGAAGCAATTGAGCACGGTAAGATTCCTCCTGAGTATCAAAATGGCTCGTCCTAACATTACTAACAGATATCCTGTGGTTTTAACACCTAATATCTCTTGATTTGACCACTTGAGCATCAAGTGTGAACCTGTTGTGGCTTGAACATTCTCACCACTCATATCAGCCACTCTCACCATGATTGTCCCCTATCATCTTCTTCAGGCCTCGGGCAGCGTAATTTTTGCTGCCCAGGAGGTTGATATTCTCTCCTTCAACACCTCTATGGAGCACCTCTCAACCTGGAAGTATCCAGTGAAGGCCACTGAGACCCCAAGTGAACTTGCTGCCGATGCTGAAGCCTCTGCCACTGTTGAGGCCCCTCCAACGCCAGAAGGTCCCCCGACCAAGCGTAGGAGAACAGAGAATGATGAAAAGGAGGCCCAGGCTGGCGATGCCGGCACCCCCAACTCAACCAACGGTCAAAAGAAGGGCAGGTTTCACAACAAGCCACAACCCGTCAACCTATCGAACGAGAAGCCTTTCATCAACTGCCTCCTCGCCACTGCCAATGGCAGTCATGTAATCGCCGCTACTGGCTCCGACAAGACGATCTGGGTATTCGAGCACGATGGTTCCGGGAATCTCAAGCAACTCAGCCAGAGGTACTCACCCCTTAACCGCCCCTCATGTTGTCTATAGTAGCTAACCCATGTTAACAGAGCCATGCCAAAACGCCCCTGCTCCCTCACCCTCACCACCGACCAAAAAACAATCCTCTCCGCCGACAAATTCGGAGACGTCTACGCCCTCCCCCTCCTCCCATCCGCAGAACCCACCCTCCCCCCAACAGTCCAATCACTCCCCTCACGCAGCGCCACCCCTGCCTCGGCACCTATCCCCTTCAAGCCCCAAGCCAACGACAAGACAGTCCACACCAAGCGCAACCTCAAGGCTCTCGAGAACCAAAAGATTTCCATGGAACTCTCCCTCAAAGCCGCCGCCGAGAAATCCGCCGAGGAATCCCAACCGGCGTTTGAGCACACCTTGCTGTTGGGTCATGTCTCTATGCTCACAGCCATCACCGTCGCCCCTGGAATCGGCGCGACAGGCGAGAAAAGAGAATGGATCATCACCGCCGACAGAGACGAGCACGTCCGTGTCTCGCGGGGGATTCCCCAGGCTTATTTCATTGAGGGGTTCTGCCTTGGGCACGAGGATTTTGTCAGCAGGTTATGTGTCGTCCCCGGCCGGGAAGAGCTGCTTGTTTCGGGTGGTGGGGATGATGATGTTTTTCTATGGAGGTGGAAGGAGAAGCAGTTGCTTGGGAGGGCGAATATTCTTGAAGAGATCAAGAATACTATTGAGCCTGAGCTGACAAAGGTTGCTGTTTCGAGACTGAAGGGGCTTTCTCTTGCCTCTGGGGAAACAGTGGTAGCTGTCATCTGCGAGAAGTATGTCCCCCTTTTGATTGCACATCATACTTTTAGAAATGCTAACGATATGTAGAATCCCCGCTGTGGTTCTTTTCACACTTGTAGAAGACACGCTTAAGCACACTGCTACCTATTCCCTCAAGGAGCAAGGTGTCCCGCTAGACGTCGAGCTTCTACCCAACGACAACCTCCTCGTGAGTATCGACACAACCGAGGGGAAGCCTGACGCGGCGGCACCCTTCCTGGTCTTGACCAGGAATGGCCCCGACTCGTGGGATCAGAAGCCTGTCGTGGATGTCCCGGCCGGAGAGACAGAGCTCAACGGGGAGGAGATGCAAAAGTTGCTGTATACTACCGAGTCGCTGAGGAAGATGAGCGATTTTGATTGAGCAATACACGTAGTTGTTGGTAGTAGCTTGAATGATAGATGGACAACGTTCTGAGCGACACATTTCCAAGAACGACGTTATTGCCCATCGAAGAGAAACCAGACGCAATTATTCGGGGGACTAAAAAAACTGAATTATATTTCCCCGCAAACAATACATATGCTGTTGAATGCAACTCAACAACCAAAAACACATCTCTATCATTCCATCAAATCTACCTCTTCTTCTTCCTGAGAGCCTTCTCCCTCTCATACGCATTCGCCGCCTGCCCCTCGGTCCCCTGAATCTCTGCCACCAACCTCTTATACTTCTTCTCGTACGCCGCGTCCTTCTCCTTCTTCACCCGTAAGTTCTCCCTCGCCATAAAAGCATTGTCCTTCCTCAGCTCCCTCAGCGCACCCTTCCTCTCCCGCTTGTGCTCCTTCTTCAACTTGGCCAGCTCCGCCCTCTCACGATCAGGATCGTAGTGCTTGTTCGGGTCAAACGAATCTTCAAACTTGGGGATGTAGGTCCTTATCGCCAGGGGACGGTGGTGGTGCAGTTCTAGTGGGCGGCGGGAGAGGCGGGAGATCTGCAACAGACGGGTGAGGTGCTGCTGGAGGGACTGGATGGCAGGAGAAAGAGATTTGGGAATGGAGGAGAGGATGGGAAGGGCGAGGGAGAAGGTTTCGGTAAAGGAGGAGGTTTGGGACCAGAGGGTGGAGGCGCTGGTGAGGAGGGAGAGGGTGGTGGTGAAGAGGGATAGTTTGAGCTCCAAGGAGGGTTGGTTAGAAGGGAGGCAGTCGGAAAAGGTGAGTTTTCTTGCTGCGGAGGCGTCGGCGGGAAGGGATGTAGGAAGGCGAGTTCCAGCGGGGGGGTCGTGGATGGGGAAGAACCCGATTGTGTTGGGGGTAAAGGCCCTGGCTGAGGGGGCCAAGGCGCAGAGGGTGTTGAGGGTGAAGTTCATAACCTCTGGTACGTAGCGCTTGGAGAATTGCTGATATTGGAGTGCAAGGATGGCCAGGAACGTGCCGGTGGCGTAGTCGGAGAGGGACTGCGGTATCTTTTGGCCGAGATACCTCGCGATGACGATCATGGCTGGGGTGACAACCTGGTGGAAGTGGTCCGACGTAGGGAAGGTGGTGCCTGCTCCGGTGAGAGTGATCAGGTCGCCGACTGTGAGGGCCAGAGGGCGGGACTGCTCCATCTCTTGGATGATAGAACGATAGCCCTTGGCGACTTCGATGGGGAAGCTCTTGGCTAGGGAGTGGATGTGTCTTGTCAGGCCTTCCAGAGCCGCGGCCCAGGTAGGCTGGTACTGGTTTCCGAGGTAGTTGACGTGACGAACGAGGGCCTGTGCAAAGTTACCGAGGCGCTCCTTGTTGTCGCTGGCGAGTTTTGGGTGGTGGAGGGCTCTGATGCGTTGGGTGGCGACCGGGAGCTGTTTCACGTCGATGCCCTTGAAGATCTCGAGGAGCTCGTCGTGGTTCTGGGGACAGGGGAAGGTGTATGGGACACCATTCTCATCGGAGCCTTTGGTGTTGTTGGTGGGTAACCGAAAGATGCCTTGCTTCGCCTCGGATTCTGTTAATAACCCCTTGGTGAACTCGTCATCGTCGCTGTCTTCTTCCTCAGAGCCAGAGTCAGAACCTGACTCCTCGTCCTCGTCGCTCTCCTCGCCCTCGTCATCACTGTCGAACTCCAACTCTGAACCGCTGGCGACCAAATCATCATCAATGAGGAAATCGTCTTCGTCGTCGAATCCCAGCTCGGTCGCAGTCGGTCGGTATTTTTTGGCCTTTCCAGCAATTCCCTGCCCGAGCCCAAACTCATCCGCGTCCTCAACATCCATGGCATCGAAATCGTCATCTCCGCCCTGCTTGTTCTCGTCATCGCTCTCCTGTTCGTCATCTGAAACCTTCTCTCCGCGCATACGCTTCAGGCGGTCCTCCTCGAGCTTCTTTAGCCTGTTCGCTTCCTCTGCTGCCTTCTCTTCTTCCGTCTTCATCTTGTCAGTAGGCGCCGCGCGCTTGTCGGACGCCATCCGCTTCACCTGGATATCATACTCCCTGTCAAGGGTAGCCTGATCCTTTCCAGCAATCACAAGAGTGGGCTTGTCACTTTTGGCAGGTGGCTTTATCCTGTCGAAGAGTAGTGGTCGCAGATCCCTCATGGCCTCATCGATTTCAGCTCTGAGCTCGTTATCCTCCTCTTTAGCCTCCTGTCGCAACTCTTTGTGAAGCTTGGACTTGGCGATAATTTCCTCGTAAATTTCCTTCTTGGTTTTCTTTCTTTCTGGTTGCCCTTCCTCCTGTTCGCCCACGGCCTCGAGAGCTCCCTCTAGACGCTGCCTCTTCAGTGCACGCCTATCGGTCTGCGAACCTTCGGATTCATCGCCTGAACCAACATCCTCCTCAAAATCGTCTTTAAGATACTTCGGAGCGTCATCATTGTCGAAAAGCGGCTTGCCCATGTGAGTAAGTCCTCCCATTTCCTCATCGTCTTCCAAGTCGAACGCAGAGTGCTTCTTGTGAGACCGTTGCTGTTCGCGGGTATATCTTTCGATCATCTTGTCCTCGAGCGACATGTTGGGATCGTCTTCACCGAAACGTCTATCGATCAGACCGCCGACCTTGTTCCTCCGTTGCATCTCAACAAGGATAGTCTCACGCCGTCTCTCCTCGCCTTTCGCCTTGGTCAACCCGGGTCGACCGCTGATACCCATAGCCTCCCTGCTGCTGACGGGCTTGTTGGTGGTAACCTCAAACTTGGGGCCTCTGGCATTTGTCTTGAACTGGAAGGGGTTGAACTGCTCGCGGATGCTGGCCAGGGCTTCATGTCGCTGGATGCGCTTCTCGTTGGACGCCTTGGCATCTTGGGCATTTTGGCGCTTCTGCTTCTTGGATTTCTGGGGACCGATAATTCCTTGGTCCTTCAGGGAGGCCTTAAGCCTCTTCAACTGTGAGCCGGCCATGATCGCGTCGTTTTTGTTGGGAGTCGCGACGCAATTGCCGGGTTTTCGATGGCCGAACAGTCGTTGTATCTCCAATTCAGAATTTTTGGTAGAGGATGGATGGTCGCAGCGCTATCTTATCAGAGTGCCCCACCGTTTGTAAATTTTGGCGGTCTGCAGCGGCAGGATCAGGGAAAGCTTTCTGTTTTGGAAGCTCTCAGCTCAAGCTTCTCCAGAACACCAACCCGCTCTCCACTGTGGAGATGCATTACAGCCGGGCGACGACATGCAGCCTCAACATCAGAGACGACACTAACCACCGCCGCCATCATGGAATGGCTCTCCTCCCTTATGACCACCGATAAGGCCATCAAAGGGGCCTTGATCATACACGGTGTTGCTCTCGTCGGGACAGTGCTGCTTGCGCTTGATCAATGGCGCTCAGAGTGCGAAACAAAACCACCACAACCCAAGCCGCAGTACATCACCCAGGACACCGAGGACGCCCTGAAACTGACCACCCTGGATACGTTGCTCGGTCACTACAACCACGCCATTCGTGAGACGGCTGTCAAGATCGTATGTGACAGAGCCGTCAACGACAAGGACACCCTCGAACAGCTCCTCTGGGGCATCACCCGTCCCAACTACGACGAGCGCCTGAAGAATCTCCGAGCTTTGGCAGTGATTACCGATCCGCGTGAGTCGATGATCAATCACGGTGGCACAATTGATAGACTAATAATTCCTCAAGACTCCTTGGATAAACTTCACACATGGAAGGCCTACGCAGCTCTCGTCCGGTGCCTGGAGCTATCTCTTGACCCTGACCAGGAGGTGCTCAACAATGACGACTGGGACGAGTATCCTCTCCGTGACATGACAGACAAGCTCTGCCTCATGTTCATCAGCCAGCTGGTAGGCACCTTTGACTGCGAGAAACTCATCAAGGCCAAATTTGTCGAGAAGTGGCTGTCCAAGCAAAACTGGGGAACCACCGAGGAGGAGCGGCATCAGAATCTTGCGGCCTACCTGCGCAGCAAGACCAACAGGCTTGCCGAAATCATCAGCTGCATTCGGCAGAGCCCAGCTGGCCGAGTGGCACTGCAGAAGTGCGGTCTCTTTCCGTATCCCGACACGGAAGAGAGCGAAGCAGACGATGACGACACGCACTTGGTGGAGCGATTAAGCGTTTTGTTTCCGGAAACTCTCGATGTTAACAGTTTGGACGTGAACCATCCTACTAGGGTGTTGTTGCGTTCGTTCCAAACCACGCCAGGGAGTGAAGAACAGCGCGACCGGAACCAGAGGCACAGGGAGGCAATGGTGCTGAATGATGGGAGCCATCCGATCACGAGTGATGATATCATCCAGCGGGACCCGACATCGCCTCCGTGAGCCGGTCATGATCCTTGAAATCTTTTACTGGCAGTCGAAGTTACCAAGCCGTTCGATGCAGGACGGGCTAACACGGCTCGGCTCAACAATATACCTGAATGCAGCCGAATCCTAAACCATAATCCCGGATGGGATCAAGTCTGCGGGGAAGGCAGCAGTTCGAGGTGGTGACCACGAGGGTCATCCCGGTATTCTGTGTACCACACTGCGGCAAAGGGACGGGATGGGCAGCTACGAAAGGCGCTGGATTAGGTTTCCAGAAATGATGCGCGCCTTCTGTAGTACGAGGACGGTAAGAGCGTTATGCGTACCAGATGCTCGGGATTGCACAAACACTGCACTCAAGTTGATGGTGCAACTTGGAACTGAGGCGCAGTTCAAGCTCGAAGACGAGATGTTTATCAAGACTCAGTGCGTATCAATGAGGTATACCCTCATGAAATATCCCGAGCAATAGCCAGCGATTGCGGCAAACGGTTCAATAGGTGACAGCCGAATAAGATGAATTATCCGGGTTATCCAGAAAGATATTCCCTGGATAAGGAACATGGTGTTATACAGCCCTGGCTATAAGGGAGGACTGAGCTTGACAGCAGCACAGCGTTGGAAAGAAAACAATCAAAACCCAACTTTGTAGAAGCGATATTCTCCATGGTGGCTGTTCGGTTTCTTACATGCATGGCAGCCAGGGGCTCACACGTGGAAATGCAGCACAAACCCCCTGCGTTTCAACGTTGCATTGGTTCAACAGCCACTGGGGAGACAGCCGACCACTGCAGCTGAGGGGGGAGTTAAAGATAGAAAAGTAAACAAAGGAATTGAGTGCGGGGAACGGAAGGTGGCAGCAAGGAGGAATTGTTGTTTGTCAGTTGTGGTGTTGGGATTGAAGCTCTATCCATGTCTGTTAAATTCAGTAGACGGCAGCTATGCTCTGTAGATCACCCCTTACTTAAGTTAAGGTACCAGTAACTTCTAGTGCCATTGAAGCCGCCTACACTCGACCACCTAGTTCCCACTGGGTGGTTGCCATGCGAGGCAGTGACGACATTCTGTAACAGGGAGAATCTCACGAACTGCTACGTGGCCATGGTGAGGCCTTGAATCTGGCCTTGTTTTCTTTTCCCAATCTCGCGAGGCGCGGGGGAGGGGACACAGCAACGCCAATTAGAAGCTGCAGCGGCTTGAGATTGAGGTCGCGAGTCCACTTTCGAGCCACTCTCTTGCAGCTCTCTGGCAGCTATGGGAGCTTTCTTGCAGTCCGACTGGCTGCCGTTTGCTTCATGCTGTCATTGACCAACAGCAGGCTGTGTGTACCTGCAGGTCATATTGTAGTGAATACAAAGGGGGCTCAAAAGAAGCCTTCTCTTCACGATACTTGCTCCCTGGATGCTCCTTCCCAGGATCCTATATTTGTTGAACTTGCTCCCCTCCCCGGCATTGATCCCCCCGTTCCCCGATGACCGGTGCCGACGACTCCTTCTTGACGTTCGCTTTTTTTTTTTTTTTTTGGTGCTGTCACCAGACACCTGACAAACCTCCACCCGCAAATCAACTCACCCTGCCCATCGTCATTTTGCTGTGGTTACCTTTTCATTTCTCTACAGAGCCAATAGTCGCCCCAATCAACCAATTACGAATTATTTGGCCCTCATCAATTACATCCCCCGATTACTACAACGACTTTCCCAGCAAATTATCAGCCTCCAAGTTCTTGTGGTTGCATTCATTAAAGGGACGACTGGCCAAAAGAAGCATCACAGCCCGAGCTTGGGAGAGGAGAGGAGAACAGATCGACAAAAAGGAAAGGCAATTCCACCAGCCCAGAAACAGCGACGACATTCTTCTTGACTTCTGTTGATTTATTAGACGGAACAAGAGCAAAAACAAAGAGTTGACGGAAAGCCACCCAATTCGGCGGCTCTCCTTTGTTGTGTTTCAGGGGAGGTCCAGCTGCTAGCGGTCGGCATTCGCGCTCCGACCCCCCCGGGCGGGGAAGAGTGTTTCCCCAGGGCTTTGGTTGGGTGAAAGGTGGGGGGGGGGGGTTGTCGTGTAAACAATAAAGCCATTCGCTGCTGGGGTTGGCCGCCAGGGTGCTGCCGCCGCCTCCAATTGGGTTGCCGAACATGGCCACCACCATCACCAGCACAACTTCTTCAACATACAACACCACCACCCGCCACACCTTGTCTAGGAGAAATAACGGTCGCGGCGGTCTCTCGTCCATTTCGACTCCCAACCTCAACCAGATCTACAACGCACACTCGACCACGGCGACGCGCCCCGGCCCGCCCGTGCCCCAGTTGCTCTCGCGCAAAGGCTCCGTTGCCGCCCTGACGCAGAACTCGCTGGCCAGCATTCCGGATGATAGTGAAGCCTACGCCTACAACCAGGTTCTGGCCAGCGAAAACACCAACATCATGCCGTCCCCGCTTACCCCCGGCCGCCTTGGGGGTGCCGCCGGCGGAGAGGATGTCCAGGTGGGCGATGTCATCGATGTGCCGGGCAACATGACGGGCACCATCCGCTTCATCGGTCCCGTCACAGGTCGCAAGGGCACTTTTGTTGGTGTCGAGCTGCATCCCGACTTTGCAGGCCGCGGCAAGAACAGCGGTGATGTCGACAGGTAAGTTGGACAAACATCGGATCATGTGCATGCGAACCTTGGAATCATGCCGTTTTCTAACTGGGATAACCCCTTCTCGCAGTGTTTTCTATTTCAGAACCAAGGATCCAAACATGGGCATCTTTCTTCCCATTTCCAAAGCCGTCAAACGAGAACCACCACCCATCATGCCGACGAATTCGTATCCTCTCACCCCGGCCAGCGGCGGAGGTCTGAAGGTCGGAACTCAATACTCGACAAACTTTACGCCACCGACTCCTGGTGTGCCGAAATTCAGCCAGTCCGTTGGCCCAGGCCGTGCCACGAGCCCTGTCGGCAAGAAGCCTACGCGCCCGTCGCTGCCGCGTCCGGAGTCGCCTGTGAGAAGGCTGCAGATGACGCCGGCGCCGAGACCCTCGATCGGGGCACCCGCTCCCCCACGATACGGCAGCCCGACGCCGAACAAGTTTGCCCAGAGTGTTCGCGGCACGGCGGGTGACCCGAGCAAGCGACTTCCTGCTCATCAGCGGAAAGGTAGCGTCGGACCGCGAAGTGTTTCTGTGCTTGGGGTGTCGTCTTCGTCGTATCAGGCCCATCACTTGAGTGAGGAGGATGCGGGACCGGTTGACGTTCAGAGGACGCAGACTAATGGGAGCGCTGGGTCTGGCTTCAGCCTCAGGGTGAGGCCAGCCTCACGGGCTGCGTCTAGAATCGGGAGTCACGCCGTCAACAATGAGGAGGTGGAGCGTCTCAAGGCCGAGCTGGAGGATCGGGAGCGGCAGCTTAAGGAACAGGCGGCCACGCTGATGGAGATGGAGAGCAGCTTGACGGAGCTGCAGGGGTTGATTGAGGGTTCCGAAGGGCAGATGCAAGCCGGACGGCGAAACAGTCTGGACGACAAGGATGCCAATGCGCTACGGGCGGTGCTGAGAGAAAAGAATGAAAAGATTGCCATGTTGACGGCCGAGTTTGACGCTCATCGAGCCGACTTTCGGAGCACTATTGACACGCTGGAGATGGCGAGCACCGAGACGGAGAGGGTGTATGAGAAGAAGATTGAGGAGCTGATGCAGGAGATTCAGGAGCTGCAGGACAGGACGGCGGACGTGGATACTGTGGCTAACCAGCTGAAGCAGTTGGAGGAGCTGGTGCAAGAGCTGGAGGAAGGGTTGGAGGATGCGAGGAGGGGGGAGGCGGAGGCGAGGGGGGAGGTTGAGTTTTTGAGGGGCGAGGTGGAGAGGACGAGGTCGGAGCTGAGGAGGGAGAGGGAGAAGGCGCAGTTTGCTACGAATGGGTTGGCGCGGGGGGGTGGAGGGGCGACGAGCAAGGAGTTGGAACAGAAGGAAGATGAGATTAGGGGGCTCAAGGCGATTATTCATTCGTTGAGCAGGGATGCTGTTCCGAACGGCGGGGAGAATGGGGTGGTGGGTGCGGGTGCGGGTGCTGCTCAGCGGTCTGGATCTGTTAGATCACACCAAGGGGAGTCGATTGATGATCGGTTGAGCAGGGAGAAATTGGAGAGGGAGGTTGCCGAGCTCAGGGCCTTGGTGGAGAGCAAGAGCACGAGGGAGGAGACGCTGGAGAGGGAGCTGGAGACGTTGAGGAGGAGCGCGGTGAACTCGGGAGCGGCAGGGCATCGCGGGAGTGCGGCCACCATGACTGCTGGCAGTGGAAACGACAGGAATTCTTACCGGGACTCTCGCGGGACTGTTGTGCTGGCTCCCCGAAGCCCGGAGCATAAGCCTGCTGGTGGTGTCGGTAAGCACAGCAGAGGGAACACGCTGGACACGATGCCCGAAAGCGACTCTTATAGCACGGCCACGGGGGATAGTACCCTCTGGTGCGAAATCTGCGAGACGGCCGGGCATGACATTTTGACGTGTACCAACGTCTTTCCTGATCAACAGTCGCATCATCAGACGAGGGACAGCAGCAAGACGCCTGATGGGGGGGAGGGTGTGTCTGGTGGTGGGGCCATGACTGAGGATGTGAAGCTTCCTGCGCCGTTGAGCCCGGTCAAGGCTGCCAAGAGCAGTGCTGTTACTGCTGCTGTCACTGCTACTGCTGATGAGGAGCAGCAGCAACCTACTAGTGCGGTGTCGGCGATGGAGAAGCCGATTAGGGTCAACAAAGAGACGGTTTTGGGGTCGGAGGAGCCGGCGGCTAGCATGGAGGGGGGTGTGGTGGATGAGCCGATGTGGTGCGCGCTTTGTGAGAGGACCGGACATGACAGTATTAGTTGTCCTGATGAGCAGTTTTGATGGGTTGGTTTGTTGATGTGTACAAGATCTGTTATTACTATTGCACGAGGGGTGTAAAAGATCTGTTATTACTATTGCACGAGGGGGAAGGGGGGTTTATTGTTATAAAGGTTTTTCTGTCTCGAGGGCTTCATCAGATGGATGAGATGGTATGAGAAGGTATGGGGTGGGGGATGGGACTGGTAGATGGATGGATGGATGGATGGATGGATTGGGTTGATGGGGAGTTTTATAAGTGTTATCATTGCCGTGGAGTTTTGAGCTCTGGGAATAGAGAGGTGTTTTCCGGAGATGTTTTCTCTTTGTACAAGTGGTTTTTGCCACTCTTCTCTATGCTATATTCCCAAACCTCTTTTTCGATTTGTAACAGGACTGGTCCTTGTCCTTGAAGATATGGAAACCTGGTTGTTTTGATGCAAGCTTCCTAATTGGGCGATCAACCAAGCCCATCTAAGCTCAACGCCGTTGAGTTGGTGGACCCCTGACCTGTCAACACCGCCTCAGCCGACCATACTAGGAGGAATACCTATAAGAACGGCTCTTACTCATCTCACTTTGCTGGTTGGTTCTGACACCCTGTAACAGAGAGCCTCTCATTCATTTCCTTTTTGGCTGTAAGATACTGCGATTTGTTTGCGACGCTTTCAACTTTCATCATCTTTTCAATACTTGATAAATCTCAAAGTGAGGGGTAACTAGACTTCACTCACTCACCCAACATTCGAGATGAGCGACACCCGCATCCCCGTCTGGCTGGACTGTGATCCAGGACACGATGTAAGTCTCCCTCTCCTCATGTTTACATCCCCTAGATGATAATATCTAACATGCCTGCCCCCCCTCCCCTCCGCCCCAGGACACCTTCGCCATCCTCCTCGCAGCCTACCACCCCGCCATCCGCATCCTGGGGGTATCAACCGTCTTCGGCAACGCCTCTTTAGAAAAAACAACCCACAACGCCACGTCCATCCTGACGGCAATCTCCCAGTCAGCCTCCATACCCGTCTACATCGGCGCCTCCAAAGCCCTCTTCCGGCCACCCATGCACCCACCGACGGACATCCACGGCGAAACCGGCCTCGACGGGACAAAGCTCCTCCCCCCACCGGCTGTCCCTCCCGTGGCTACCATCCCGGCCATCGACGCGGCATACGAAGCTCTCAAATCCACCCCCCGGGGGACAGCTTGGGTGGTGGCCACGGGGAGTTTTACCAACGCGGCGGCATTGTTTATGAAGTACCCTGAACTCATCCAGCACGTTGCCGGGCTGTCGTTGATGGGAGGCGCGATAGGAAACGGGTTCACGGCCGCGGTCTTGGGGACCGTTGATGGAGTGCCGAGGGTGGGGAACTGGACTCAGTTTGCGGAGTTCAACATCCTTGCCGACCCTGAGGCGGCGGCGTTCCTGCTGACGCATGGGGAGCTGTCCAAGAAGACGACGTTGATCCCGTTGGATGTCACGCACCTGTGTCTCACCACCGCCCAGGTTCAGGAACTGATCTTGTACGGACCCGAGGGACGCAAAGAGGGGATGGTGCCCGGGAGGGGCAAGACGGAATTGAGGCAGATGCTCGTCGAGCTGCTCTTGTTTTTTGCGAAAACCTACGCCGACGTCTTTGGCATAACCGAAGGCCCGCCGCTGCACGACCCCTTGGCTGTTGCGGCGGTACTATCTGGGCTGGACGAAAAAGGGGGGCATAAAATCCCATTTTATGAACATGACCCCTCTGTGGGGGTGGGCATGGACGGAAAGGGGGAGAGGTACGAGGTAAGTGTCGTCACAGAGGGGAGCTACGAAGATGCCAAAGCTGGTGCGAGGACGGGCCAGGTCACCGCGAGATTGCTACCCCCAGGCGAGGAAGGGGTGAGGATACCTAGGGGGTTGGACTTGGGGGTTTTTTGGAGGGTGTTGGAGGAGTGTATCTCTAGGGCGGACGAGGCGAATGAGAGGGCCAGGGCTGTGAAGCAAGAGGCCGGGGTTCCTACTGCTTAGAGTTGTTTGGATGGAAAAGATATAGAGGGTTGAATAGACGGACGGGGGGTGGTGGATGATATTTGGGGTATGTGGTGTTCATAGTAGATTTCAAAGATTTCAAGAGTTTCCTGGCGTAGAATATCCAATCAAAATCAAAAATCACTGCAGTTCAAATTTTATCTGTCAAATCATTCCTCCCAGAGCAAGATATCATCTTGCAGAAAGATGCCCGCTCAACACCCAAAACGCCAGGCATGAGCCACCCCAATATCAACATCCAAAAAATTTAAAATAAAATAAAAATTGC